ATCATGACCTGAGCTGAAATCCAGAGTTAAATGCTTTACTGACCGAGCCACCCAGGTGCCCCCATTTACTTGTTTATTAAGGAGTTTTCCTAATAAGTGTTAGGACTTCCTGTGACTTGTTTGTCAGGTGCTAGTTTCTCTTTTCTTTCCTGCTCCTGAGCTGTGATATTCTTTCACGCCCCACCCAGTCCTCTGTGCCTCCTGTCTTCTAACCAGATAAACCAGGCAGGCCATCCCTGTTGCTTTCATCCAGAAGTACATACTCCCTGGCCAGATCGTCCCTAAACATTTTTATCATCACTCCCCACCCACTGAGGTCAGTCGCCTTATTTCTGTGGGGCTCACCATGCAAATTCTTGCCTTCATGAATCTGTTCTTTTCCACCCCCCCACCTGGAATGTCCTCTACCTATCTAGATCGTATGTGCCTCTGGGCCCTGCTTTGAGTTTCACCTTTCCACTTATCCTTCTCTCGCCACAATTAGTTCAGGTGGATTTAAGCATTTTCCTGAGATTTCCCGAATTTCCAGATAATGGATGTTCAGTTATGAGGCATATTGTTTTCTTATACACTGATCTTGTTGCTCTGTCATTACGTGTTCCTGTACATACTACAGTGTCGGGGCAGTAATACTCAAATACAGTTTTTCAAGAAGTTTTTTAAATTGAGGTATAATTGACCTGTCTTAGTTTCAGGTGTATAGCATAAAGGTACTGTATAGTGCTGTGGGAGATTCTATAGGAAGGTTAAGGGCATCGGACGGAGATGTGGAGTCAGGAGAAAACGTCATGCTGAATACGGTTTGTGGTGCTGATTTCTCAGCCTTGAACTGGGAATAGGAGCTGGTAAATGCCCGAACTTGGTACCGTAACCCTTAGTCTCTCAGGATATCCGTTGCAGAATCTGCCTTTTACTACCCCTCTGAGGCTCCCGGTCCGTGAGACGGACTCCTGTGAGTGAGTGTGGAGCAGGACTTGTCATGGGCATGCTGCTGCGAGCCGGGCTGGACCCTGCCACGGCCCCGCAGAGAACAGACCACCGGTCCGGAGCTCCGTAGAAAAGATTTTACTGTCCTGCAGCCCACAGGGACAGAGCGTTCCTGATAACCCAGTCATTGTAAGAAGAATGGTTCATGATCGGCTATTCTGACACCCTGGTTAGAGTTTTAGGCTGAGATCTTCTCACAGTTGATTGACTTTGATACACCGAGGTATATTTTGCAAGTTTCTCATAGAGAAACTCTGAAACGTTGGGTAAGATTTAACATAGAGGCAAGAATAAAGCAAACGGAATATTAGACATTTAGTATTTTCTTATACTGTAGTCATCTAAAAACTCATCCTGTAATTATAATTTCAGGCGATCAGGGAGGTACCTTTACACAGTGGCTTTCTGGGACTTGTCTTGGCCCAGTGATTGGGAGTGCCTTTCCTGACCTCTCTGAAGGAGGCTGTTTGGGATCTGCTAGACTATTTATTTTATGTCTCACTAACTTGTAGGAAATCATAGCAGTAAGATCTGTTTTTGTCCTTCCGTAGATTGTTTTCAGAATTTTGTTGGAGGGGGGAAATCCCTTAGAGGCCTTCATACCAAGTTAGGTTTGACCTTTTTCTTTTTAACTTTTTATTTTGAAATAATTACAGATTCACAGGAACTTGTGAAGCAAAATGTACAGGGAGGTCCTCTGTACTGTGTGTGTGTGTGTGTGTGTGTGTGTGTACATTTCTCTGCAGTTTATCACATGTGTAGCTTCCTAGAGTCACTACCACAACTGTTCCAGACACTGTGCTGTCACCCTCATGCTACCGCTTGACAGCCACACCTTTCCTCTCTCCCCTGGCCACCACGGATTAGTTCTCCAGCTGTAATTTGTTATTTGAAGAACGTTATATAAGTGGAACCCTGTAGCAGGTAACCCTTGAGTTTTGGAATTTTTTTCACTTTGCATAATTTGCAGATTCATCTAAGTTGTTGTCTGTCTGAAGTTTGTTCCTTTTTATTGCTCGGCAGCATTCCATGTGGGTCATTCCTTAGTGGTGGGAGGACATCTGGATGGTTCCCAGTTTCCAGAACTGTTACTAATAAAACTTAGGAACATTCATGTATTGATATTTGCCCAAGCATGAGTTTTCATTTCTCCTGGAGAAGGTAGGAATGCAGTTGCTGGGTCATATGGCTGTCACTGCCCAAGCATGAGTTTTCATTTCTCCTGGAGAAGGTAGGAATGCAGTTGCTGGGTCATATGGCTGTCGCCTGTTTAGTTTTTAAGAAACTGGTCACCTGTGTCCCAGAGTGGCTGGGCCACTGATTACTTCTTGATGGCAACATGTTGTAGGGTAGCATTTTTATACTGTGCAGTGAAATGTACCTGCTGCTTTTGGTAGCACTCTTGGTGCCATTAATATACCCAGTTGCTTCTCCTGGCCTGAGGGGCAAAATGGCATTTCCCGATAGGCTTTGGTTTAGGTCACCAGTCATCTCGATGGGCTTAATGCCCAAAGGAACGCATCTCGCTTTTGCCCCTTAATGCCCCTAGCTTCACAAAACCCACACAAACCTGCCCCAGTGAACCTCTCTTCTTTCTCTTCTTTCCTATTTCCAGAGTTAGCCCCAAACCTGAGCCCTGACTCCTCCTGTAGAGAGCCTCCTTTCTTCCTCATCCTGAGCCCCCCCCATCTTACTGGTTTCTGCCTATTTAAACATGCTCAGTTCTCTCCCATCTTGAAATTCCCATCCCTTCGCCCTCATCCACTACTATCTGGCCACTCTTCCCAAGCTACACCTCGTGACTGCTGGCTCTGTCTCACTGCGCGATACCGTAATCTTAGCCTCCCTGCCTGACTTGGCTGTGGTGGGCTTGCTGATGTCACCAGAGCTGTGCTGTAGCTCAATATGATGTAAGTGTTTCAGTGTTGTTCTTACCTGACCTTTAAGTAGCATTCGTCATTCTTGATTACTTTCTCTCGGTAGAAATCCTTTTTTCTTGTCCTACTGTCTCCTTGGACTGCTGTTCCTAATTGTCCTTTGCTGGTGTCTCCTCCACCTCTGCACAGCCCTTAAATCTTGGGGTTGCTCTGAGTTCTGCACCGAACTAGCTCTTCTCATTCTGGGTGACCTCACTGGCTGAGGCCCACGCCTTCATCTCCGCCTCAGACCTCTCCCCTGGGCTGCAGACCTGTACACCCTTTTGCCTCCTACATACCTTCCTTCACTTTCCCACAAACCCCTCATACCCGGCATATTTAAAACTTAATGTATTAACTCCCCAGTACCCTTTCCTCTTTAAAAAACAAAACAAAACAAAACAAAACCCAACTCTTCTCTCTGCAGGGAGGCACCAATGCTGTATATACGTACAACAGCGGCAGTGCTTGCATTTAATTGAGTTGCCGAGTTAACCAGAGTGAACCATTGTCCGTTCAGGGCACAGCATTCTGACCCATGCCTGTCTGGCACTCCCAAGCACACTTGAGGCCCCTCTTGAGCACTCTTTATTTTTTTTTTTAAACTAATGAATGAATTAATTATTTAATTTATATCCAAGTTAGTTAGCATACAGTGTGACAACGATCTCAGGCCCTCTTGAGCACGCTTGCCTCTGCCATTCATTGACTTGTGTTTTTCACACTACTACTAATTACACTTTTTATCATCAGGCATTGAATTAAATATCACACAGACTAAAACTGAGTGTGAAAAGGAATTCTTTCCTGTGAAAACTAAATTGAATGCTTTGGCAAGTCCAAAAAATAAATTACTCAAGTATTTGCTGGGGAATTAAGTTAGAGCGAGGCACCTGTTGTCAAAGACTAGTAAAACTCGTCCAACTCTAGAAGGATTCTGCACTCTGCTTCTCAGGTGTCCAAGGTCTTGCTCCGCTTCACCTAAACGTTAGTCTGGAAGTCGTAGTTATGGACGATGAAAGTGATGAATGCAGAAAACATGATGTGGAATTCCAGGCAGGAGTCTCAAACTCCGGGAAAAGCCCTATTTCAAAAGATCGGTGAATAAATGGGCCTTTTCATTTTAAGTTGGCATATTCAACTATGTTATCTTATTTCTTTATTTCTTTATTTTTAATGTTAATTTTTGAGAGAGAGAGAAAGAGTGCGAGTGGGAGAGGGGCAGAGAGAGAGGGAGACACAGAATCTGAGAACTGCGAGATCATGACCTGAGCCCCCAGGCCTTCTCTTCTACTCTGTTTAGATTCTTCCTGATAAGGGCTTCTGCTGCATGTTGCAATGATTTCAGGAGCTGTTCTCCATGGTGCTACCTGGTGACCATCTTCCCTTGATTGCCCACATCAGTTTCCCAACTGGATGTCTGCCCCAGGATTTGCCCTTCCCCCAGTCCCCACTCCATGTTACAGCCAGTGAGCACTACCAAACGCATAGACCTGATTGTGTTGCCCATTTGCTTTAAAACCCTTAAAATCCAGAGTTTTACACTAGTGAAAGAGGACATTTAGGTCTAGCCTCTGCTTACCTCTCTAGGCTCATTTAATCATTTTCGTGCATCATCCCCTTCCTTCACACAGGATACTTTAAGCATGCAGACTCAACTCGCTGTTATGGTTCAGTGGGGCGGGGGTGAGGGGAGTAATATATGTGCATGGGTGCCAGGGGCTCGCCCCTCCAAGCCTTTCTGTGTACTGCTTCCCTGCCTCGAGCTTCTTTCCCTGTCGTTCACTCCTGAAGCTGACCCTCCTGTCCTTCGGGAACCCTTTCCTGACCCCCAAATTGAGGGCCTCTCCTGTGCTCTTTGATAGCAACACGCTGTATTTCGCCCACTCTGGCCTTTAGCACTTGGTAGTTAATTATTTGTGTCCTTGGATTCCCTCTGAGGCACCTGGCCCGTCGGTTCTGCGAGGATCGGCTGCACTTAGTAACCGTGTTTGCCCCAGTCTCCACTTCACAGGCAGTTGCGTGAATAGATGTGTTCTCTGGATACCGTAGTTTGTCTGGAAAACACCTAGGTAAAACGCTTCGTGTCTTTTGTAGTTGCTGTCCCTGCTGGCCTTCATCTGCGAGGAAGTCGTGTCACAGTGCACCTTGTGTGGAGGACTTTACTTCTTTGAGTTCGTGAGCTGCAGTGCCTTTCTTCTGAGCCTCCTCATTCTGATCGTGTACTGCACTCCAGTTTATGACAGAGTGGACGCGGTCAAAGTCAAGTCATCGGTAAGCAGGGAGACATACCCCCCCTCTGTGAAGAGAGTGGCTGTTTGGAGTCCTGTGTCGTCGTATTATTCAAACTAGGAATGCTTGCACAGCTCAGCAGCGCGAGAAGACACTACCCGTTGTTCCGGCCCTGCTCCTCAGCAGCTCCACTTTCCCTGCCAAATGTGGGGGAACCGGGAAAGTGGGGTGAGGAGAGCAACAGGCACTGCCAGTGGTTTACAGTTATTGGTGGTTTACCCTCATTCACATTAGGCGTTTTTTAAAAACTAGGATTTTTGTCACTTTTGATTTCTCACATTTTGGTGTGTCACTCATGGGCTCTGCAATTTTTTTGTCATACTTGTTCTGTGCCAGGCATTAGGCTAAGATGCGAGAGCGAAGAACTATTGTGACGTATTTCTGGAACTTTTAAAATGAAACACCACACAGGGGCATCTGGGTGGCTGAGTTGGTTAAGCATCCGACTCTTTATTTCAGCTCAAGTTATGATCTCAGGGTTGTAAGATCGAGCCCCATCTCGGGCTTCCCAATGGACATGGAGCCTGCTTGGGATTCTCTAGCTCTCTCCCTGCCCCTTCCTGCCATGTGTGTGTTCATTCTCTCAAAAAGAATAACAATAATAATAAAATAAGCAAATAATAAATAATAATAAAATAAATAATAAAAATAAAATAAATAATAAATAATAAAATGTTTTAAAATCAAACACATAATTCTACCTATGGTTTTGATTCTCATCACGAAGAAAGTTGTCTATAAGTGGATTAAGGAGGCATTTGTTGAATTCGTTCAGAAATTTCCCTTTTAACAGAAGCACACCTAGGAATTCGATTTTCACAAAATCAGTGATATATAACTTTCTAAAGATGGTCTGGTGGCCCATGTTTTTATTTGAGTACAGTGTGGATTTGTGAGATGACACATGAGATGATTCACACATTTATTGCATTTAAGGAAGAAAGAATTGGGCAGTTTACTTCTTCAGTAGTAAACAGTAGTGGTTTGTGAGGAATTGTACATGTCAGGGTCGACATATGAAAGAACTTACATCTCTCAGGGAAAAGATAAAAACAAGGGTAAGTTTTTAACTATTAAGAATAAGGGATAGGGGTGCCTGGCTGGCTCAGTCAGTAGAGCGTGCAACTCTTGATCTTGAGGTTGTGGGTTCAAGCGCCACGTTGAGTGTAGGGATTACTTAAAAAAAAAAAAAATCTTAAAAAAAAAACCAGACAGGGGATAACAAGATAAATACAAAGCAGTAAAATTCTATTATTGTTTTAAATTAATGAGAAGTAAATATTGGGCCATGTATCAATATACAACTAAGATATTGACTTTTATCTGTATTCTCTTTTGAATTACACTTTTAAATTTTGTGCTGTAAGAACTGTTACCTTCTTTTATTTTATTTTTTTTTTATTTTTTAAAATTTTTTTAAATGTTTTTATTTATTTCCAGGAGAGAGAGACAGCGTGAGCAGGGGAGGGTCAGAGAGAGAGGGAGTCACAGACTGAAACAGGCTCCAGGCTCTGAGCTGGCAGTCAGCACAGAGCCCGACGCGGGGCCCGAACCCACGAACCGCGAGATCATGACCTAAGCGAAAGTCGGACGCTTAACCGACTAAGCCACCCAGGCGCCCCTGTTACCTTCTTTTAAAAGAATTATTTTAAGTTTAAAAATTAAAAAACAAAACATTGATACCACAATCGCTTATTTTATTTTTTAAAATTAGATTTCTTACTGAAATTTTCATGTTATAAACCCGGTACCACAATAATTTAAAAAAATAGCTTCGCCTAGTAATGCATCATGAGATGAAGGTGCAGAGAAAGACCCGAGAGGTTTTGGTAACTACATTTGTAACCTCTGTAAATTCTTCCTCTCTGCAGACAGGTATGCAATAAGATTTTTGGATAAGTGAAGAGTATACACTTCTATCTGAGCTGATTGATTTGTAGTTCCCATGTATGAATTTACGTTTTAAACATTAAAGGTTGAAATTATTTTTTCATTTTTCAATCTCTCTGCATCAAAACAGTACTATCCATAAAAATATTTTCAGAAATGTTTAAACTTTACTGCCACATCTGTGGTCTTTAAGAACCTTGATCTTTTTGACCAGCAACAATATAGCAATATTTTCCAGTTTTAATGCTCTAACTAAACAAAAGGTAAAACATTGATTATATCAAATGAGCATTTAAAAGTTCTTCGAGAGTAAGTGCTGATCTTAAAATGCTAGGGGGTGGGACAAGAAAGAAATCAGTCATTTCATCCAAAAACAGCCTTTGTAAATATTTTTTCAAAAAAATGATAAATATTTTATTTCTTTTGGGTCTTTTGTGTCTATTGGTGAGTAAGAGTTATAATTATAAATATTGCATTTTTCACCTAGCACTGTAAGGACTTCATGTTTGTTTGAAAGGTTTAAAAATTACTTTTACTCTCGACCTATTAATGGACTTAAATACTTTTTTAACGTCAGAGGTTTTCTATTTTGAGTGTGTGGTGGTGGTGGGGGGGTGCTGTCTAGGGAGGAGGGGGGATGGATAAACTTTTTAAAGGGAGACTCTCTTCTGTTCTGTGCCTTCGTAGCTCAGATTCTATCAAGAGTAATAGCCAACACTTAGCGGACATTTCCTTTGTGCCTGGTACTGATGGCTTACGCACTTTCCACAGATTGACTCAAATCTCTAGAATCACATATGAAGACACTGTTAATTTTGCAGTTGAAGAAACTAAAGCACGCAGATATTAAGTGAGAAATTCAAAGTTATATACCAGGAAATAGTGTAACTAGGATTTGAACCCAGGTGGTCTGGTTCTAGAGCCCATATTTATAGAATGCTAAATTATTCTGTCTCAAAATGGGTGTCCTTTTTTTAAAAAAAACTTTTTTAATGTTTTTTTTTTTTTTTTTGAGAGAGAGATAGAGCATGAGCAGGGGAGGATCAGAGAGAGACACACAGATTCCGAAGACAGGCTGCAGGCTCTGAGCTGGCTGTCAGCACAGAGCCCGATGCGGGGCTCAAACCTACAAACCGTGAGATCATGACCTGAGCTGAAGTTGGACGCTTAACTGACTGAGCCACCCAGGCACCCCCTAATGGGTGTCCTTTTTAGTGCCTCCTTGAATGAAGTCCAAACATTAGTAAATGTACTTTTATATTTGTATGTCGCAAATTAGAAATAATATTCAAAGGAGCAGGAAAAACAAAATATTATAGAAAAACACCTCTTTTAGAAGAAAAAGAAAATCTCTTCAATTTTTTATAAATGTAAGTAAACAGTTGACAGTATAGGAATTCTGTGTTGGGTAGTTTTATTGACACTGATGTTGATCCTAGATATTAGGATCACATTTCAAGAAACTCTGGAAGTATCAGACTTACAACCCTTAGCAATGGCTATCATTTTACCAGTTTCTTCTCTGAATCGAGTGTGCACGTCAAGCACTGTGTGTAATAGGCATCTGAGAGGGAGCCTGACAACATAATGCCTGGGAGAGCCCTTGGGACCCCATGGAGAACTTCACGTCGTGAGCTGCATTATGATGAGATATGGAAGCTTTTATAGAGCACATAAGCTCATCATACAAGCTCATTTTGGGCTGCTTACTTGGAACGATTGAAAGCAATATGTTATTCCAGAAGGCTTAAGTGTCTAAAAACATACTATTGGCATAATTTTATTTAGTTAATGACGGGTGGTTCATCTGATCCTCTCTTTCCCAGAGTGCTTTCAAGGCACTGAAGTACTCTCCGAGAGGCCATCTTAGCATAGAATACTGATCTTCCTCGACTTACGACGGGGTTACATCCCTTAAAAGTCATCGTAAGTTGAAAATACTGTTAAGTCGAAAGTGCGTCTAATACACTTAGCCCCCTGAACATCATCGCTTAGTGTGCTCAGAACACTAAAATTAGCCTGCACTTGGGCAGAATCATCTCCCACAAAGCCTATTTGATAATAATGTGTTGACTCATGTCATTGAATACTACACCGAAAGTGACAAGCGCAATGGCCGTGTGGATACAGAAGGGCTGTCAGCGGACTAGTGGTTCGCCCTTGTGATCAGGGGCAGATCCGGAGCCGCTGCCACCGCCCAGCAAAACGAAGGACGATCGTCCCACACAGTGCCAGCCCAGGGAGGAGCCAGGCCTACAGTTCCAGCACAGTTTATACTGAATACGTACTGTTTTTGCACCATCTTAAAGCTAAAAATCATAAGCAGAGCCATTGTAAGTCAGGGCCCATGTATACTTTGAAAGGGAGGACAAATTTTTTTGTTCTTGTTTTTGTTTTAGTTTCGCTGGAAGTAAGATGGCATTTAATAAATGGCTTTGGAAATTGTAATACGTCCTAGAGAAAAAGACACACACATACACACGTGACCTTTTGGGGACCTGTTTTATTGAAAGATTATCTTGTGACATACTCTTAAGTATGCCCCGTCCAAAGTGTGGATAGCGTTCCACACTAATTAGGGGATACCAGACTTACAGAAAAGTTCGAAGCTGAAGCATGTCAGTGTGGGTTGCATGGAAAAGCTGTGTAAGAACCAAAAACCTTTGCTTCGATGAACCTAACCCTACTGTGTTCTTTGTGCACGTGTGTAGGATTTCTATATTACCCTGGGAACAGGCTGTGTGTTTTTGTTGGCATCCATCATTTTCGTTTCCACACATGACAGGACCCCAGCTGAGACGGCCGCCACTGTGAGTACCTTGTTTTTTGAACCCTTTGCCTATTTTTGTTGCCTTAGAAAATATGGAACTTGGAAAGTACCAAAAGCTTACACAATAGGGGAGCACTGTTTGTCTCTTATTTTTCAGTGTAATTTTGAATGGAGGCCCTAAGAGCAAATAAGTATGATAAATAGCTTTAGCAACCTAGAACCTGTCTTTAGAATTTGACTGAGTTTGGTTCATAGAAACCCGTTCACTCCAGATATGAATGTGTTACTGCTAATGGAAGAGGTAGAAATGACTTTGTTATCTTACTTCCTTATCTTATTTTCTACTTTGCAGTTCAGCAAAAACACACATACGTGCCAGGTATAAAGTTGCCACACTGGATGTAGTGAATACACAGGAGAAGCGACCGAAAGGTTCAGCCTGATAGAGGAGATCAATAAGGAAATGTTGTTATCTGAAATCCTTGGGTGTGGGGCAGGGTTTTGTTTTTGTTTTTGTTTTTTGAATTCAGAATATTCTGGATTCTAGAAAGGCAGTACTGCACATTTACTGTACTGTACTGCATGGCACCTTCAGAGGGCCTGGGGCACACCCTGTAATCCAACATATTAGTATTTCTGAAGTATGACTATTCACAGTAAAGGGGATAAAGGCTGCAAGTAGTTCTGCCTGGTGTCACTTTTGAGCCAAGTAAATGACGAAAACGTTTGAGTTTCTGTAGCTTTTTGGATTTCATAATTACAAATCAGGGGTCTTGTTGTGGATATGTGAACGTGAGCAACGGACACTACCAAATCCTCTGTCATCTGGATTCCAATGATTACTTTGTTCATAACAAAACTGAAGTTACAGTTAATTGAGTTGTAAGCTAATAGATCTTTACTTATAATTCTAGAAAACTCAGAAGGAGTTCAGAGACTTGTAGGTTATATCTCCCTGGTCATGTGAGCAGTTTGTTAGCACACGTCAGAACAAAACAGAAATTAAATCAGTGCTGAACCTTGACTCATTCCAGCAGCAAGTCATATTTATGCATGGGTACATGAACCAATCAGTACATGAAGAGGAAAATCTAAGTTTTAATAGACCCTTATGGTTCATTTCAGTTTACATACATATTTCTATTGCAGAGGAGTATGATAATGGTGATAGTAAAATGTTTTAAGGTATAGAAATCTATTACTATAAAATTCTTGAGGAAGTGAAGTAGATTTGAGGAAAGTTGAGTTGAAGAGGGGAAAAAAAAGCATGACATAAAATTCCAAGTTGTTGAAACAAAGCTTATTTGTATAATTAGGTGACGTGTTAGACCATTACAGTATTTAGATTTCATTGGATATATTTAAGAGTGATAGTTTAAAAACTCAGTATTATAATAATAATACAAATAAATAAAAACTCAGTATTTATAATATACTGGAAATAATATACTTTTGCAACTTATTATGAAAAAACTTACAGACTTGAATGAGTGAGGGAGTCCGTTAAAAAAAGAAAGGGTGCCCAGATGGCTCAGTTGGTTGAGCGTCCAGCTTCAGCTCAGGTCATGATCTGACTGTATGTGAGTTCGAGCCCCGGGTCAGTCTCTGTGCTGACAACTCAGAGCCTGGAGCCTGCTTCAGATTCTGTGTCTTCCTCTCTCTCTGCCTTTCTCCAGCTTGCACTCTATCTCTCTCTCTCAAAAATAAATAAATGTTAAAAACAAATTAAGGGGCGCCTGGGTGGCTTAGTCGGTTAAGCGTCTGACTTTCGCTTAGGTCATATCTTGCGGTTCGTGGGTTTGAGCCCCGCATCGGGCTCTGTGTTGACTGCCAGCTCAGAGCCTGGAGCCCGTTTCAGTCTGTGACGCCCTCTCTCTCTGACCCTCCCCTGCTCACGCTGTCTCTCTCTCTCTCTCTCTCTCTCCTAGAAATAAAAACATTAAAAAAAAATTAAAAAAAATTAAAATAAAATTAAAATAAAATAAAGAAGAAGAAATTGTGAAGTATGTGAGCAAAGATGGGGAATCTCATTTGTTTGGATGCTGTGGCACAGAGGGCCCTATGTGGACTAGAACCCTCAAGGGGTCAAGGGTGGCCTCACAGACACAGTGACCTCTGGTCTGTCCGTAAAGCCTGTAATATGTTTGCCAAATGAGGTGAGAGATGCCGTCAAGTCAAAACGAAGACTCCAGAGGGGAGAAGTGACTGGGGGTTAGAGATGTGGGATTGAGAGTTAAAGTTAGGGTGCATATGTTGGGGTTGTTAAGGTGAATTAAAGAATTAGGAGTGCAGTTTGTTTTATAGTGAAATGAGGCCGAATGCATATTCTTGAGGGTGGAGGGGTTGGGTGTGAAGAGTCAAGAGATTGGAGCTAGAACAAAATATTAAAATCAAGAACAAACTGATAGGGGTGCCTACGTGGCTCAGTCAGTTAAACGTCTGACTCTTAATTTCAGCTCAGGTCATGATCTCACAGTTGTGAGATTGAACATCAGGCTATGTGCTGATAGGGTGGAGCATGCTTAGAATTCTCTCTCCCTCTCTCTCTCTCTGCTCTGCCCTGGCTATTGCTCTCTCCCAAAATAAATAAACATTAAAAATTTTTAAAAAAGAACAAACTGATGGTTACCAGATGGGTAAACAGGTGATGGAGATTAAAGAGAGCACTTGTTGAAATGAGCACTGGGTGATGTATGGAACTATTGAATCACTGTATCATATAACTGAAGCTAACATTACACTGTATGTTAGTGTAACTGGAAAACTTAAGTAAAAACTAAAAAAAAAGAACAATAAAATAAAAATCATGGAGATCGTTGTTAGAGGTGGAAGGGACTTTCGCCATTACCTACATCAATTTTCTCTTTTTACAAAGCAGTTCTTTGGCCCCTATTTCTTTAAGGGTGAAGATTTCTTCTTAACAGAATTCTCAGAATGCTTGGTCATACGTTAGAGGAGTACAATGAGGAAGTGATTTAAGGAAGAGGAAGTAGGTAGCGGTGTCACGTTGCTGTGTCATTACAGTGTGACAATTAACTGGAAATTGTTTTTTAGGTAATTTAACCTGAAAGTATCTTCAAAATAGAATTTCTGTTTTGATGGTGATCACTTTGCCATTTTCACTCCCGACTCGCGTATTTTTCTTCTCTCACCTGTGGGTCAGTCTAACCATTGCTAATAATCCTGTGTTGTATATCATTTTATAGGATTTTGTTTTTCACCTGTTAACCTCAGTCTCACAGGTTGGCACCCCACCCATCCACATGCACACATAAGGCAGGGCCTTTCTGTTTTGTGAACTTCAGCGAGTTGCCATTACTCTAGAATTTTTTTGTAGCTTCTAGTTTTGTGATGACCTTAAAAGGCCTTTCATTACTGAGGTTGAGAATACTGTATCTCAGAGCTAAGTAGGAACTGTGAGATTATATTTCAAAATTCATCCTGTAACCTTTGCCCTTTCTTCTCCCCAGGTGTTTGGGTTTCTGGCAAGCTTTATGTTCCTGTCCGACTTTGCCAGTATGTTCTGGGAGAAACAGCAGGAGTCCCAGACGAGAAAACCTGAGGCTGCCAGGAGGACAGAGGCCCTCACTGAACCACTTAATGCATAAGGACCTAGGGAATAGGTGTGACATAAGGTATCAAGTGCGTCATGCCTGAACCCCGGCAGAAGCTCTTGTAGAATTTGTGTAATTATTAAACCACTTCTTTGGGGAGCAAGGAGAAGGGTGGGAAGGCACTTTTATTAATAGTGGATTCTGTGTCAGTCGCCACAAATTAGGCCAGAGAATTTTTTGGTTCAAAAAAATTTTTTTTAAATAACGGTAAAAACTTCCGTCAAATGAAATGGTTTTGTTTTTGTTTTGGAGGACAGTTGTTTCTTTAAATCACATAGCTCAACTGATGATATTTTATTCTCTCATCATTACTAGGCCTAGCTTTCAAATTAGGCTGTAGAGCCAGCATGATTAAATTCATCCATTTAGAAATTGTTTTGTTTTCAAATGTATTTGCTTAGTAGGAGGGCTTTTTTTTTTTTGATGACCAGATAAAATTAATGTATATTTAAGAGATCACTATTTAAAATATTGGTCTAGAATATAATACCCAAGCTTTACTGTATCTCACTCAGCCTTAAAATTATATTGTAACATTTTAGGATAATTGTTATTAACTCTTTCTGAGACCTCTTCCAGCCTAATAGTAACTATATGGGAGGCGTTGTTATTTTATACGTATAAAAGAAACATCACGAATGCTATGTTTATACTGCACTTTGTTGTCAATAAGCGAGAAAAAAGGATTTTTATATAATATAACACATAGAAAAATGGAAGAAACTCTCATGGCTAAGTAAGGACCAAAGATAAAAAAAGATACACTTCTTGCACAATACAGTGATTATTAAAAACGGGCTTCAACCGCTTACCACTGTCTGAAAAGTTTTAAGTTCATACTAGGAGCTAGAAGTTGGTCTGTTTCCCTCTTGGTATATTGCTGTTTCTACTGAAGTTAATTCAGCTCTGAAGGTCCTGATCAGTGTTTTCTTTGAAGCCTACCCTCTTTTTAAAACCCTAGCCTTTGATTTTATTATTTATTTGAGCTTCTCCCTTTTCTCTTTATCCACATGATCCATCCACTGCTTCATAATCTGGCAGAACTGAGCCCCTGACTCCGACTTTCATGCGATAGCCCTTGTCTTTACGTAGTCCCAACTCTGGGGCCTTTGAACATAGAGTGTGTAGCAGGATCGTGGGGGTTCTTGTTCCCACATTGGCGATTACTCTGACTTCTCCTTGGGGGAGACCTTCTTAAGAAAGAGAGTATCTAGCATATCCTGCCCAGGTTAACACCAGGGATGGTGTGAGTGGGGCAGTGAAGCCATTCTCTATTCCAGGCATTCCACTTCAGACCAGTTCTGATAGTTTGGAAGAATGGTCTCTTGCTGGCAGGCTGTCTCTGAGCCAGCCAGCCAGGGCACTTGGGGTAGGTCCTTTCTGACCAAGTGGTTCGCAGAATAGACTTTTCTTGGCTTCCTCTTAGATTTTTGACCCAGGACTCTGGTGTTAAGTCAATGAGCCCATGCGTCACGTACTTCAGGGCTTCGGTGGAAGTCTTCCAGGTGAGGTGGGCTGGGTTTTCTATCTGAAAGAGTGGAGTCATGTTTCCAGTGAGACCATCTAATGCCCCTATCCTTTTTGTCTCATTTGTGTGTGTGGATGTGGCAAATGTGGTTGTCAGAATTCATCATTAGGGCCTGACACAGCTCTCTTGCTCTCTTACTGACTCAGGACTGTATCCATTTGTACCCAAGTTTGGATGGTAGTGCCCATGGTGCTGTCACCACTACCCACTTGGGGGATAACGAACCAGATCACAGATGCTGTGTTTACTGGGTATACTATCCACGAGAGGAGAACTAGCCTGAGTCTTGGGTCCAAGAATAAAGAGTGGTTAGAAGATAACTAGCTTATGGTTGGCAAGTTCTGGAATTTCACATATAAGTGTACCACTGTCATTTTAAGTAACATCTGGACCCAGCTGGGTTTCACAGCAAACCTATTTGGGCTACCTCAGGGTCCCTGCGTGTACATGGGCTTAGTTGAGTCTGGTGGATGTGTCCCAGCCGGCCTCCTACATACAGCAAGCATGTTGGCATCGAGCCTCAGTGCTGCCTGGTCTGAGGCTGGGCTTCCTTCCATCTGGTTTATTGGTTCAGAAGTGGGCCTCTTAGCTGCTACTTAATCCTTCCCTTTGCAGAGAATGTCCTTTGGGTCATTCTAGAACTTCTCTTCATACTGTTTTCTATGGGACTCATGACTGATTGGCCTCCGTCTTCTGTTGTCAAAGGAATTTGAGTAAAAAGACCATGTGGTGAATAAAAAGCTCAAGGAAAACTTGGGACCAAAACCCCTTTTATGTCCAAAAAAGGGCAAACTCAGTAAACTGAAATTTCTCATCATTTTTTATTAGTAGCCGTGTTAGATTTAATCTGTTATATTTTATACAAATAAACTGTTTAAAATGGTTCTTAAAGATTTTAAGGGAAAATGTACACAGTATAAGAATTTTATAACCGCTGTACTTAAATTATGTTCTGCTTGGGGATTGGGAAATGTATTTTTACATTGTTCATAGCCAATTGCTTTTGTATTTATCAATTTAAATCCTGTGGGGTCTTTTTTTTTTTGTCTCTCTCAATGTCAAATTTTATAGTTTTCTTTTTAAATAAATCCACTTTATTGTCTACGCCTTCGTAGCTGTTTCATTATTACAGAAGCCTGATGTTGAAGATGAACATTTTCTCCAGAGTTGTATCAGTTGGGCTGGACAGGCTTGGTAAGTACATGGGACACTGGACTATGGCTGCCCAGGCGGGAGGCCCGGGCAGAAGGTTGGGACACACAGTGGAACAGTACTTTGGGGGACCATGTCCGAAGAGTTACAGAGGAGTGTCACAGACGAAACACCTTTAAATACTTACATTTGGACTCCCCGACACATTTCTCATTGTGGCTGAATAATGCTAAACACCACACAGGCACATTCTCTTCCAGACTGTTTGGTGGCTGAGAACGTGTGAAGCAAAACTGGGGTGGTGGTGGTGAAGTTGCAACTATTTGTGCTGTTTGCAGAATTCCTGCCTCCAGCCTGGATGAGAATAACAAGACCTTTCTAGTCATCGGGAACTCGCTGGAATTCGTACATTCCTCAGAATTTTTTGTCTTGTTTTGATAAAGAGCATTGTGATGGGGCACCTGGCCAGCTCCTTCAGAAGAACGTACGAGTCTTGATCTCAGTGTTGTGAGTTCGAGCCCCATGTCGAGTGGAGAGATTACGTAAACAAATTAAAAAAGAGGGGAGAGTGTCTCAATGTGCAGTCAACTGCAAGGAGCAGAAAACCTAAGTAAATAGGTCTTAAACTGTAAGGAAAATTTATTTCATAAGAAGCCCAGGTCAGGCAGTTCTGTTGCTGGTCCAAGTTCAGTGGCTCAGCGGTATTATCCAGGACCAGACTCTTCTCCATGCTCTTCCGCCCACCGACCCACCTTCTGCTGTGAGGTTTTACCCTCAGGATTGACCCCTTCTGGGATAGCAAGACCGAGGCAACATCTCCAGCCGTCGTCCGCTCACGCAATGTCCTAGGCCCAAAGAGAAGAGAGTGCATGGTGTTCCTTCTCACAGAAGGTCCTCGGTGGATTTCACCTACTTGTCTTAATAGAGGACTTTAAGTGCCCATTTCTAGACTATTTACCGACATGGAGAATAGCATTACTGAAATTGGCCTAAAAGAATCCAGATGCCTCTCCGTAGGTGGTGAATCCCCTTTGAAGCAGATAGTCTTCCGTTACCTGAACAGATTGGTTCTGATAGCAAGAGTGGGGCCATGGGCTTGGGGTTCAGCAGTGTCTGTCATAAGCATGTTAAGCCCCAGCTAGGGCAAATAAAATGCCCAGGTTAAGAAATGCTCGTAGGCCCAAATACCCCAAAACGATGTAAAATAGAAAACTACTAGTTTTGATGTTTAGACTAAATTATAATTGTACAAGTAATATGTGCCATAGAAAATTGGTTTACTAAAAGGTGGGAGATACTGTTTTTTTCCTGAGACCTTCATATCTGCTACTTTTAATTTTTGAGAACTGTCGAGTACTGGATGTACAGAAGATAATGCCCATTTTAGACACCACCCAGCTTTAATAGAGCATAATTTTTTTTCATAGTTCATTCAAAGGCCCTTGTTTAAAAACGAAAGTGAAGGGCGCCTGGGTGGCGACTGACTTCAGCTCAATCATGATCTCACAGTTCGTGGGTTTGAGCCCCGCGTCGGGCTCTGTGCTGACAGCTAGTTCAGAATCTGGAGCCTGTTTCGTATTCTGTGTCTCCCTCTCTCTCTGACCCTCCCCTGCTCACGCTGTCTCTCTCTCTCTCAGAAGTAAATAAAAAAACATAAAAAAAAAAAAGCAAATGAAATTTCATTTTTGAAGCACCACCACTTGGAACCTTACCCTATTTTATACTTTTCCAAAGGCAAACACGATCTTGAATGTGGTATCTTTCTTGTTTTTATTGTCTGTACTAAATCTAGAGATGTATCCATAGGCAATGTCTGACATGGTGTTTATGCTAGATTGATCCTTTCCTAGATTGCCTTTTTCAGTCAGTAGTATTTTGCAATTTATCTGATATATACAGCTCTAGTTCATTTATTTTAACTACTGTTTGGCATCCCATTGTACAGATATGCCACAATTTATCTTTGTTGACAGAAGAATTTTAAAGTGGTTTGTTTTTCACTGTTTGAACCAGTGTTACAGTGAACAGGACATATTTGAACATCTCACACACGGGTGCAAGAGCTCTGTGTAGGGTGTTTTACTTAGATATTGTTACATTGCAGGGTGTGTGCAACTCAGGCATGGCTAAATTATTTCCGAACGGTTCTCCAAAGTAGAGACTTCCGGTCAGCAGTGTACGGGGGGTGCTTTGTTTCCTTATTCTTGTCTTACTCTCAGTATTAGTTTGGCTTAAGAGTTTTGCCAATCGGGGGCAGAAATGGTCTCTCGTGTTATCTTACACTCCCCTTATTACTGGTGAGCCTGATCGTCTTCTCATTTGGTTGTTGACCTTGTAGCTTCCCCACATCAATGAATTGTTCCTTTACATCCTTTGGCTTTTCTCTCACCCTGAAGTGGTTTTTTTGTTTTGTTTTGTTTTGTTTTAACTCACTTGAGAGTTCTTGACATATTACGTATGGGTGTTAATCCTTTGTTAGTAATGTACTTGGAAGTATCTTCTCTGAAGAGTCTCTAATTTATATTTTATTATTTTTTTTATTTTTTATTTAAAAAAAATTTTTTTTAATGTTTTTTTATTTCTAGGAGAGAGAGAGAGAGACAGCGTGAGCAGGGGAGGGTCAGAGAGAGAGGGAGTCACAGACTGAAAAAGGCTCCAGGCTCTGAGCTGGCAGTCAGCACAGAGCCCGACGCGGGGCTTGAACCCACGAACCGCGAGATCATGACCTAAGCGAAAGTCGGACGCTTAACCGACTAAGCCACCCAGGCGCCCCTCTAATTTATATTTTAACTTTGCTTCTTGATACTTTGTCTCTTGGCTTATCGATTCTTGTTCCCTGAAGGTCAGAGATGTTCCCCACTGCTTCCTAAAATGTTTAAAGATTTGCATTTCACATGTAGTACTTGAACGTACCCTGACTTCTGTATGTGGTGTGAGCATTCCATGCCATCTGGTTTATCATTTAGCATGTGACTCTTGGCTCCTCTGATAGACAACACTGCCTTTGTCATTTACCAAGTTGATGTGTATGCTTGGGTCTGGGGCTGCCTTCCTGAGGCTATTTTTCTATACCTATGCTAATACTAGTCTTGATAAAGTCTTAATATCTGAAGGCACGTTCAAAATTGTTGTATTCTTGACACCTTTTTATTTGAAAGGCTGTGTGTGTGTGTGTGTGTGTGCGTGCGTGTGCGCGCGCGCCCATGCATGTGCATGCATGCCAGGGAGAAGGTGAGAGGGAGAGAGAATCTTTTTTTTCTAATGTTCTATTTACTTTGGAGAGACAAAGAGTGTGAGCAGGGGAAGGGCAGAGAGAGAGAGACACAGAATCTGAAGCAGGCTACAGGCTCTGAGGGGTCACCACAGAACCCAGTGCAGGACTTGAACTCACAAACCACAAGATCACGACCTGAGCTGAAGTCTGACGCTTAACGAACTGAGCCACCCAGGCGCCCCTATTTTAAAGACTTTTTAAGAAAAGTTGTAGGTTTGCAGTAAAATAGATTACTTTACTTTTTACTATAAAGATTTTTACTATAAAATTTTAAGATTGATTTGGCAAGTTCCATAAAAAGCCTTCGTTCATTTTTTCTTGGAATTGCATTGACTATAGGATTAATATGGGGGTAAATGATTTATGATTGAACTTCACATTCATGAACCTCAAATCTCCATTGATTGGGGTCTTTTTTTTTTTTTAATTCTTTTTTAATGTTTCATTTATTTCTGAGCATGCGAGAGAGACAGCGTGAGCAGGGGAGTGTCAGAGAGAGAGGGAGACGCAGAATCTGAAACAGGCTTCAGGCTCTTGAACTAGCTGTCAGCACAGAGCCCGACGCGGGGCTCAAACCCATGAACCGTGAGATCATTATCTGAGCCGAAGTCAGACCGATTGAGCCACCTAGGTGCCCTGATTTGGGTCTTTTATTGTTTTTCAGTAAAGTTTGTGGTTTTCTTCATAAAGGTCATGCAAATCTTTTGTCAGATTTGTCCTAGACACTGTTTTTGCATGTGTCCAGAATGAGATCTTTATTTTATTATTTTTAATGCTTTTTTTTCCTTTTTTAAATTAATTTATTTTTTATAATTTACATCCAGGTTAGCATAGAGTGCAACAATGATTTCGGGAGTAGATTCCTCAGTGCTCCTCACCCATTTAGCCCAACCCCCCTCCCACAACCCCTCCAGCAACCCTCTGTTCTCCATATTGAAGAGTCTCTTATGTTTTGTCCCCCTCCCTGTTTTTATATTACTTTTGCTCCCCTTCCCTTTTGTCCATCTGTTTTGTATCTTAAAGTCCTCATATGAGTGAAGTCCCATGATACTGTCTTTCTCTGATTTCACTTAGCATAATACCCTCTAGTTCCACATTGTTGCAAATGGTGGGATCTTTATTTTTAAAGACGATGTTTTCTGATTAGAAAACTGAAAGATAGCTCTGAAAGCTTGTCTACATTGAGGTCAGTCTTTTCCCGTTTTTTCAAAGTTTTCCTGTGGGTGATGCCGCCGCGCACCTCACCAGGCAGTGCATACCTGCTAGCCCTCCCCCATGGACTGTGCCGACTGGTCTAGATGCCAGTACCTGACCCCCCACCGTAAAGGTTCCTATCAACCTTTTAGGTAAAAGTTTCCATCCCTTGCCCTTTCTCTACATCTGTTATCAGAGTTTACAAAATGGTGACTGTCATTCATGCCACTTTCATCAGCTAAAATCCTTCAGTAATATGCTCACATTTTTAGCATGCATATTTGATTTTAGAAAAACGAGGGTCATCAGTACTCCTGCCCGGCTCCTGAATGACACTGAGACCTGAGGATTAATGGCCATCAGTTCTTCCCACCTACTGCATTGTTATTGCCTAGCAGTTTTTACTTTATCTTAACACCTCCCTCACCTTCCACACGTTTGTCTAAGTGCTTTTCTTTAGATGTGGTTGCTTCACATCACCATG